TTTTTTTCACATCCTGATCCAAGGTTCTACAATGTTACAGTATATGAATTGGGTCAGATTCATGCCACAATTATTTGGTTCCATTTATAAGATCAGCCTTCATTTTTTGTTGCGTTTAATTCAGTTGAGAGAGCGAGGTTTTGGATAATCTCGCTAAAAGACAAAATCTACTGAAAACAGTTGTTTTAGTAGGAGAATAAAAGTATGAGCATAAGTCCATGTATCTTACTTGATGTTTGAATTTTTTTTATACTTTAGTCAGTTTCAATATATACTATTGGAGAATGTTGCTGTGTTTTAGGTATGATGATATAGTTTTGTTTGTTTACCAATTCCATTAGAAGCTGGGAATTCACCACGACACAAAATGCAAATATAATTAACTGGCACAAAACGATCTGCTCTTTGGAGGGACTGTTCTGGAGTCTGAGAAGGAATAACTCTGCTAAAGAATCATTCCCTTTTAAACACACCGCAGGCATATATAGACATTAAAGCTCTGTTTAATCAACAATACCAAAAAGACACAAAAAGAACAAAACAAGCAAACATAAAATGCAAAGTACATTGTGAAAGATTACAACCAGTAACTGTCAGTAACTAAAGGTTCAATTCTTACACCAAACTGACAAAGAAAGAAAAAGTAAAAGAAGAATTTTGTTCTGTATGCATAGCAAAATGTAAAAATACCAGACAGACGCAAGTGACTGACTCTTTACTTTGTACCTAACAGGTCTATGATGGTCAAGAATTACAGGACAATCTGACTCTTAACTCAAACAGCGGGCCAAAAGAAGTGGAGTATGCTGACATTAATTTTTCCTTGTTGAAAAGAAATGGTGCCAGAGAGGCAGCAAGGAGGCAAGAGAGCACAAAGACGGTATATGCTGAAGTTAAGAAAGCAGTCGAAGAACGGGAAGATGATGCTGAAGAGGAAGGTGAAATGCTGGAGGCCAAAGAGGACGAGATGGTAGTGGAGATGGAGATGAAATACTGTGAACCAGAAAAGGAGTTAGAAATGGGAAAGGAGAGAGTGTACGCCACTGTGAATGATGTTACTGATGAAATTTGAGGAATGTTTTATTGTGGAGTTGATTGAGATAAAGAATCTCTCATCACACGTAATGAACATCACGCCTTTACATACAACAGCAGCAACTATGCAAACATTAATTTACCGAAGTATGTGTGTGTGTGTATAAAATAACCTTTCTGCACCTAAGAACCATATGGTTCTGGTATATAAAGTGCACAAATAAAGTTAGAGTGTTAAGATTGCTATTAACAGCAGAGATACTGCACAACAAAATGGGAACAAAAAAAGCTTAAATATGCAGAAGTGTTCGCAGACAAGCTCTATGCAGATGAAATGACGTCATGCCAAAAGAGGGAAAGTTTTTTTTTTCTTTTCTTCTTTAAGCTCATTAATGCATTTGATCTTTCTAAGGAACTTCCTTCTTTATTTATATTACTGTTTACTAATATATGCACATATGAACCAGTAGGAAAGCAATGAATTAATGACAATACAATGAGCCAGTACGCGCTGAATGTTGTTGAAGTGATGTGAAGACAAATGGTGTGTATATGTTATATTTTCTGTCTGATATTGTAGGCTCTTCATTTGACAATGGAAAGATTGTTGAAGTGATTGAAATACAATAAAACCGAAATTAATTTATAAATTGTCTGCACTGTAATGTTCCTCAATGGCTTTTTAGATCCTGCTTTCTATTGAGATGAGCTATTTAGTTTAGGTAGCAGCTCCTTCTGCTGAGGTTGTCTCTCTGAGTTGCCATTCATAAAAGATAACAGTTCTTGGATTAGCTTGATTGCTTTTTCTGCCTCTTCTAGTTTCTCATCTGCCATTTTAATGAGCATCCACTTACTCTTATTGGCAACAGCTTCTTCTGCCAGGTACTTACAGACCTCCACCATTCTGTCCTAGTTTATTTGGCTCAATATAGAGAAATATAGAGGAATCTCCAGATCCACCTCACTTATTTAGTTTTTTCTCTAGAGAAAAAAGTCAGCTCTCCACACAGCAGAGCATCACCAGTGAATCATCCTGTACAGTGCAGTTGACTCTCACTTTATATGGCGCAAAATCCCAATAGTCACCTCAAGGTGTTTTATGTTGTAAAGTAAAGATCTTATAATAGAGAGGAAATCCCAACAATTAGATGACCCCCTGTAAGCATGGACTTAGTGACAAGCACTGTATTCCCACACTAACAGTGGGACAGGGTTAGGGTTAGGTCTGTGTTCGGGATCTGTTTCTGGAGTCACATGGACATAAATCTTATGGGACACATCTCTGTTTTGACATCAGAGAATCTGACTGGTGTAACTTAGATAAACAACTCAGCTTTGACCTTTAACCTTTAAGCTGAAAACCACATCACCAACGTTACCTGTAGAATCAGCTTCACAGATGAAACATCTGGAGAGATATCTTCAAATTTCAATTTTTGAAAATCTTACTGATCTCATTTTTCTGTCCATGTGTTTTTGGGTCACACATAATGTTTCTGATCACAGCTTTGTTCTCTCTCTCTCTCTCTCTCTCTC